GTCCAAAGGCCTCAGGGGGCTGCACTAAACTTTACTGGCTCTGTTAATTCTATATAGACAAAGGGGATTCCACCCAAATAGATGAATCTGACACCAGCATTTCAGCTTAGAGCATTATCACATGGCAAAAGTACCATATATACTCAGCTATAAGTCAACCTCATGTATAAGTCAAGAGCAGGTTTTAGGGCCAAAATTTAGGATTATGATATGACCCATGGATAAGGTGAGGGTAAAAATTACTTGCATGTAACAAAGGCTGTAAAGGATGACACAAAGGAAAATGAAGTCAAAGAACTTACAAAATTCAGGTAGGCATAACTGTTTCTACTCATCCTGAAGGCTGGATAGATGAGAAAGTAGAGTGGATCCATTCTTCTTTTTGGTGCTCCCAGGATGGACTAAGCTCTTGCCTTTTACCACTCTATTCAGAGAAAGGGGATGACTCCTTTTTTAGATATATGACTTAAGGTACAGTACTTACATTGACCTGTGGATAAGTTGACCCAGGGCTGATGCAGACCGGCCAAAAGAGCCGGCCTGGGGGTGGAGTTGGGGCACAGCAGCCGCATGCCAGCTGCCCTGACTGCCCTGACTCCATCCCGATGCCATGTGCCCATCCACAAGGTGTATAGCATCAGGGTGCCCTCTTGGCGCAGCATGCACACATGCTGCGCCAAAAGGACACAAAAGAGTTGCAGTGGCAGCTCAAAGGGCGGCCTTTTACTGCTGCAAGAAGGAGTGGCATTTTGCCGCTCTCTTTGGGGTGACAAAAAGGAGGACCAGGGCCACGGCGTGTGGCTGCCGTAGCCCCAATCGCTGCTCCCGCGGGCAACCAAGAGCCACTCCAAACGGGACATCTCCATCATCCCTTAGATTTTTTGGCTCAACTTTTTTACTAAAATTTCTAGACTTATACATGAGTATTTACAGTAACCTGATGCACAGCGAGAGAGAAGTGGCTTTCTTCTTACCTCTCCTCGTGTTGTATGGCACTTCCTTTCTCCTTCCAAATACACTTTTATGACCAACTCCCTCTGAAAGGAGAATGGAGGTACTTCAATGGGATGCAGAGAGGCAAGGAGAAAGATGCTTCTCTCTTGCTGAATGTCAGCTTACTTTTGTCATGCAGTAAGGCTGGGGGGAATGGGAGCAATGGGACAGAGGTTTATAAAATGATGCATGGTATGCAAATAGCTAGGGAAAAGGTTTTCCCTACCTCATTACCCTACAAGCAGGTCATCCATTTAGATGGTGGGAGTCCTTCACTGATGGTGACATTCACTGCCACAAGATACAGTTATGGTTGCTGACTTGGACAGCATTAAAGAGAAGTTGAACATATCGCTATTTCAGTATAGAGACAGTATACCTGTGTGTTTATCAGTAGCTGGGAAACAAGACTGAGGATCAAGTTGCAACCCTATGCTGCTGGTGGACTTCCCATTGGCCACCATATGAACAGAACATTGGTCTACATAGGCCCTTGGTCTGATCTAGCATGACTCTTCTTACGCTCTTAAAAATAATGTTTTTATTTTAAATTCTGAGACAGTGTCTCTTGAGTGAAATGTTGCTAACATTTGTTATACTCAGATTACAATCATGAGCAGAAAAAAGCTTTCCACATACAGACCCCTTTCTTAAGCATGCCCCATGTACACAAAAAGGCACAGGCAGTTCCCTCTGCTTTTCTACATCTAGCATCTGTTGTTTAGTTGGCTGGTTGTTCATTTGGGGACTGTGAGAAATAAGCAATATCTATAACAGACAAGCCATTATTGCAAAGTATAACCAAGGTAACATAAGGATCTTTTCTTGACTGTGAAAGCAACACTGTAGAGCGATAACACTACAAACTGGA